TTGAACACTGAAGGCCTGGTAAGCGGGAGGAGCTGACGGTTGGTGAAGGAAAAGGACCCATTGTTCGACTTCTAACAGGCTTCGATGAAGGACGTCCGATGAAAATTGTCAGGAAAAAGGGAAATAGTGCCCATAGTGGATTCATATTCCGGTCCGAGCCCCATAAGAGTGGTCTGAAGAATTTCTTTGTTGGATACTGGAGAATTTATTGCAGCCAGTTCATCAACTAAGTATTTAATTTCCCTTAAATAATTTTTCATTGACTGATTTTCCTTCTTTTTCATATTGGACAAGTTATGATTAAGTTCCATAGATCGAGCCAAACTAGCAGAACGAAAACGATTTTGCAGTGTGTCCCAACTCTCAAAGGCATGTTTAAGTTCATGTACATCAATTAATACATCACGAGTGAGGGTAGCAAAAATTCAGGAATGAATTGTTTGATCAACCCATAACCAATGGTATTAATTTGTATTAATGATTTGGTGATTATTAAAATCAACCGTGTACATCGGAGGTACATGTGTGGAACCATCCAGGAAGCTAAACGGGCCTTGAGAGACTAGGAAAGACTCAAACTGGGTGCGCCTTGTGATGTAGTCTTCTACCACCTTGAGCTTGATCGTAACAATTTGAGTAACGTTGGAGATCGGAGAAATTGACTGTGCAACCGCCGCCATGGGGGACTGAAAGAGAGAATGATCAGTCAGTCTAGACAGCCCAGGTGCACCGGAAAAAGTGGAACCAAAGTATCCCGGACTCGAGCGCGGCTGAGGCGTTCCGGTCGGCATGGGAGTAATCGAGTAGAGAAGAAGCCGCATGGTTCGGTTATTGCAGGGGGCTGACACAGAAACACCAGAGTAATTCGTTGAAACAGAGAATAAGCACCGGGAAATCTGCAACGAAGGGGGAAGAGTCCGTCTACAAAGCCGATGCCGACTGAGAGGGATATACTTGTGGCGGCGCTGTCAAAGCTGGAGCGGCACTGGTGATGACTGCGGTTGCGTCGGTGGAGACAGAAGAAGTCGGCGCCGTAGTCGAGGAAGTTATGGTGGAAGTCACCATGGAAGAGGAGTTGGCGGAGGTTTACGAAGTAGCGGCTGCGGCTGAAGAGAAGTCGACTGATAATTCCATATTTCAACACGCATTTGATGCGTGTTGGGATCGGCTTTTGATGGTTTTCCATACTTTAAGGTGTCACAAGTCTCAATTTTAGCTCAAGTTAAGTTTACCGGGCGTTGGTTCGAGTTTGTATTGTTTTGGAGTCAAAATCAGGGAATTTGAGCCCGACACCGGCATTTGAAAAGCAATCGGGACGAGTCAAGATGCATTCGAGAGATAATTGAGAGCGTTGGAGGTCATCAGGAGGTTCACGATGAAGATTTGATGACTCTCGTATTATGTATTAATTATGGTTTGAGCAATGATTTGAGATTATGTATGAAAGTTTATGTGTGGTTCGGCGATTATAGACTTATTTGAGTATGATATGATTTTCTGGGAATTTTGGAATGTATGAATTTTGACTAATTAATTATTTTAATTACTAAAGTCAAAATTGTGAATTGTGAAAATTTGTTATTTAACTTGAAAAATTGTGGAGATTATACAGAAATATACTATCCTCCGTCTCTTTTTAATCGCAACATGTTGAATTTTACACTATTCATATGTTCTACTTTGACTACATTTTATATTATTATTTTATGAAAATTATTTTTAAAAAAAAATATTGTTCAATTCATCTCATTACAAATTTTAAAAATCTAATTTTTAAATATTTTTTACTAATAGAGATTAAGATATAATTACAGTCAAAGACATGCATTGGCAAGTGTGAAATGTTGACCGTTGCAACTAAAAAAGAACGGAGGAAGTATTATATAGTTTTAAATGTATATTTTGGTATGAACATTTAGATGTATATTTTGGATTCATACATATCTTTATTTGATTGTTTTGAATATGGTATTAAATACTATTTTGGAACTAGTTTTGGGTAAACCCTAATTTGTGAGCTTGATCTTGAATGGGAGATGCTTGGCACATGATTTTGAGACGTGAATCTTAAATAGATATTCTTGGAAAGTATTTTGAAGTAAATGATTTATGGATAACCTATGAACTACATGTTCACAATGATATGTGAGTAACCTATAAACTAGATGTTCATAATGATATTTGGGTAATCTATAAACTACATGTTCATAATGATATGTGAGAAACCTATGAACTAGATGTTCATAATGATATTTGTGAGTAATATATGAACCATATATAAGTTCATAATGACAAGTGAAGTAATCTATGAACCCCAAGTTTATAATGAAGTTTTGAGGAAACTATGAACTACAAGTTCATAATGATCTTTGGAGTAATCTATGGACATTGGACAACATGCTCATAATGATAGGTGTGGTAGACAACCGGGTATTCACCTAACTTGGATATTATTTTTGAATTGAAGAGTAAATGACTTTGGAGAATTAGTCATGGATAAGTATTTATTGGAATATGAAATCTATATGGATAAGTATTTATAAGTTATTTAGGGGAAGTCGATATGTTGATCTTGTGGAGAGTATTGCTTCTTTTTTTTATGGAGATGTGAGTAGATAAAGTTTATATTTATTAATGTTGGAACGCAAAGGATGTTTTGAATAATGAATGTGATTTTAAACTTCAAATTTGTATTTTGAGAACTAAATGGATTTTTGAATCTATACTTTACATATCAAATCTATTTCCTTCAAACTATATTATTTTACGGGGTTAAGTGAGTCTTACTTAGCTCTAAAACTGATTTTTGATCTCTTTTTTTCTTGCAATTTATTTGGTGGAGATGATGAAGACTACGTTTGATGAAGAGTGCATCGATAGATAACGAAGACTAGTATTAGTTACATTTATTAGATCTGGAATTTCAGAACTTGTTATTGTTTTACTTACTTTCAACTTTGAATTTAGTACTTATATTATCTTGGATTGTGGCTTAGCATTTGCATTCGCTTATATGAGAACCGAGTGTGGGGGTAACACCCATTGAGTATTTTATTTTTGCTTCAATTTAAACACTTTTGAACTCAAATGTTTTAGGAAAACTATCTTTATACTTGTTGTTTTAGTATATATTTTGGGGTGGAATTTGGGGTGTTACCGACACGCCTAGCGAAAAGATGAGTCTTAAGTCGCAACCCAGAGGTGTTTTTCCACGTGACTTCCGGCGACCCACTAGATGGTCCTGCCGAGGACAACTGCGTCCGGAAGACCTAAATGACGAGTCGAGCCGAGGGTTATTGTTACCCTTATGCTGGTAGTCACACACATTTTAAAGAAAAAGGAATTATGTTTGACCATGTGGCTGCATTATCCATTCATAATTCAGGTAAGGCTGCCCGACACACGCGAGCGAGAAGACAAGGTGACGCCCGACATTGATCACGAAAGTGAATATCGATGCAAGAAATGGATGGTGTATCCCAGACACGATTGTCCGCAGATGAAGAAACCATAATCATGTATGTAATCGGAACACGTAGAAAGAGGCCCCACAAGTTGTATGACGCACAAGCATCCACATCGCGTTCTGTTGGCACACCGTTTGACAATACCGACCCTGCTTGTGTCTAGTCCTACTGCCGTTCTAGCTCACCGCGGTCCGTCACTATGGACCCTCTTTTCTAATCATAGTGCCATCCGATCCCCCGCTGTTCGGCACATGGGACATGCGCCATAAGTTAATGCATCCATAAGTCCTTGCACCATAAAACGAGGCCATCTATAAGCCCTTATATCATCTTGATTACAACTGGGCTCGCCTATTCCCGTCTAGGTTGGTGATCGTCGTCTTATACAGCACGATCAGCCCCTCAGCGTCGCCATGCTCAGTTTACGGCCGTGCTCTCTCATTCCCTTCCAGGATGGCGACCGTCATCTTATGCAGTACGACTGACCCCTCATCCCCGTCGTGTCTAGTTCACGGTTGGGCGCGCCTATTCCTTTCCAGAACAACGACCGTCGTGTTATGCAGCATGGTCGACCCCTTAGAGCTGTTGTGTTCAATTCACGATCGGGCTTGAACATTAGTCCGAAAAGTCTTGTGGTTTTCCCCCTTTTCTAGATTTTCGCGTAAAAATCCAATGTTTATAGATATTTATATTTATTTGTACTACTCAGGTTATGCTAGCCTAATTGTGTTCTGGGTTTGATCACGTGCATGCTCGGGTATAACATGTCGATAGTATTGAACCTGGCCCATTATCTAAACAGTAATATTAGGACAAATAATTTATAAATTTTTAAATTTGTTCTTAGATAGGGTTTTGCACATGAGTAAATATAACAAATAGGAATTTGGTGCATTTTTTAAAGGGAAAAGGGGCAAATAGGCCCATGTACTAATAAAAAAAGGTCAAATAAGCCCTTATTTAGGAGGCTTTGTCCGGCCGTCGCCATTTGGAGTGGTTCCCGGTGGAATATTTTGATGAAATTTTTTGAGCATCTTATTCATCAAGTCTAGTTTACTCATACCAAATTTAAGCTAAAACTTCAATCGGGAAGGCATTCAAATGAATTCTTGAAAATAACTGCACAGTTATTTTCAAGAATTCATTTGAATGCCTTACCGATTGAAGTTTTAGCTGAAATTTGGTATGATCAAACTAGACTTGATGAATAAGATGCTCAAAAAATTTCATCAAAAAATTCCATCGGGAACCACCCCAAATGAGGATGGCCGGACAGAATTTTCCTAAATAAGGGCTTATTTGACTTTTTTTTATTAGTACATGAGCCTATTTGCACATTTTTGTTTTTTTAAATTACACAAACTAATGTAGTGAAGTTTTTATAAGAAGAGAGAGATTGGTACAACAAGTTGGGTGAGTTACCCCCATTTGATCGACTTGGGAGTTTGAGTAAAAGTGATGGGTAATTTTTGAGTAGTGATGGCGAAAAAGATAAAAGTGATGGATACCGAGAAATTAACGAGGAGCAGTACAAATATGGGCGTGCAGGACTTAATTATGCAGTGTATAATCCATTCGTGAGGAATGTCATGTAATGTCGGGAATAGGTGTAATTACTTACTTACTTACTTCATGAAGTAAGTAGTAATTAATGGACGTACACATTCATTTATGAAGTAAGTTGTAAGCATAGTGAGTGTTTAGAAAACGGATGAGATTGCTTTGCACAATTCCCAAGAAGCGAGCCGTCCATCCACATACCCAGGAAGCTGCTGCTGCTGCACTGTTCAGTCTATATAGTGTGTGTGTGTGTGTGAGAGAAGAAAATCCTCCCTGCTCGCTCATCTATACTGTTACTGTATGGGGAGTGTGTCGTCGGAAGAGGGCTGCGGTCAGCGGAGCCAGCCATGCGGCGGCGGCAGCAGCTACAGTCCAAGCGCTGACGTCAGCGAGTCCGACAGTTCTTCTTCTCCACCCTTCCGACTCTCTTCCGTTCCGGTGCCACCGCTCACGCCCAAAGATTTCTTCCTTTGGAACCGCCAATCTCATTTATCCGGTTCGTCAAATTCCATACCTCTCCTTTCCCCTCTCTTTTTCATGCTTTTCTAATTGTTTTTGCTTATAGAAGCTGAATTGATGAAGGAGAGATTTGCCAAGCTTCTTCTTGGTGAGGACATGTCTGGAGGGGGTAAAGGGGTGTGCACAGCACTTGCCATCTCAAATGCCATCACTAATCTTTCTGGTTAGCACCCTCCCCATCCCTTCATTCTTACTTCATGCTTCTAATCCATCTATACATTACTGTAATTCTACATTTTTTAGACATGCACAACTTTAATTCACCACCTAATGTCCTTTCTGCCCCCAAAACAAGCCAATATCCAAGCATTGTTGTGATAAATGTATAGCTTTTTAAAATTTTATACTTACTTTATTTTCCTGTTGAAAAATCATATATTTTTATTTTGTACTCATGTTATTTATATAATAACATTGCAGCAACTATATTCGGGGAACTTTGGAGATTAGAGCCGTTACCTACACGCAAGAAGGATATGTGGTGTAGGGAGATGGAGTGGCTTTTATGTGTGAGTGATTCCATTGTTGAGCTTGTACCGTCAACACAACAGTTTCCTGGAGGAGGGCCCATGTATGAAGTAATGGCGACACGGCCCCGATCTGATCTATATGCCAACCTCCCTGCCCTCAAGAAGATTGATGCTATGCTGCTTTCCATTCTTGATGGCTTTTGCGAAACAGAGTTTTGGTACGTTGACCGTGGGTTGGTTTTAGCTGCGGAATCAGACAATTCCTATTCCTATTCGTCTGGGAGGCCTTCGGTTAGGGAGGAAGACAAGTGGTGGCTTCCTTGCCCTAAAGTCCCACCCAAGGGGTTATCAGAAGATGGAAGAAAGAGATTGCAACAATGCAGGGATTGCACCAACCAGATACTGAAGGCCGCTTTGGCTATTAATAGTACTGTTCTTGCTGAAATGGAGACCCCTAGAGCCTATTTGGAAACCTTGCCCAAGGTGTGATAGTCTTTCTATAGCTTTCTCATATTCACATGTTGCTATGTAGGCAGTCTGCTTGTCTAATCCTCTTTGCTTTCTCCTTTGCATATTGATGTTTCTTTCGTTATCGGCTAAGGCCCTATTTGTAAGTTGTAACATTAATCAGCTTATTTTGCTTGTTAGCATAGTAATTAGAATATGTAACCTTGGGCTTTATCATCAAGAAATTGCCCTAAATATGAGTATTATAATTTTTTCCCAAATAGGAATAAATATTATCATCATGAAAAAAACTACCATATTAATGATATTATGACATTAATATTGCAGTTTTAGGATTTCAGTATTTTACTCTCATTTAGAAGAAAAAAACATTGCACTCCTATTTAGGAAACCACATTGTTTTTACTCCTATCTTGTGAAATTTCCCTATATTGTTGAAACAAATTTTACCTAACATCTGCCCTCTCAACACAAAAAGACAACCCTTATCAAATGAGCTCTACTGCCCCAAGTAACCGTCTAATGTGTTCATTTTGGAACTGCCTCAAGTAAGGCACGATAACTTCCCTAGTGTCAAATACGAATATGATTCTGCCAAGCGTGTGTTGCATTAACTACTTGCCCTGCCCCCCTCTAAAAAAGTAATACCTCCGTCCCATTATATGTGTCTTGTTTTGGTGTGACACAATTATTAATAAAATCAGTTGAAAAAGTAAAAGTTGTGGTTGAGGCTTGAGTATAATAAAGTGAAATGTTGTAGACCACATATGTCTTTCCAAAAAAGAAATATGACACTTATTTTGGGATTACCCAAAAAGGAAAGTAAGGCAGGTAAAATGGGATGAAGAGTATTTTTAACAATATTCTTTTAAAAAGGATCTTTACAACTAATGTTATGAGCTTTTTCAATAAAGCCTCATAACAAAGTTGCTTATGATAAACTTTGTTAAATCAACAAAATGACATGTAAATAATATAACTTTTATGAATGACTTACTTAGATTGTACTTTATACCAAAAGAGTTTGAAAGTGGTTAAACATGAATCCTTATAGGAGATATGTAGAACTGTTCCCTCAAAGCATGAAATCTAATGTTCGTTATAGGTATTTTGGGAAGGATAAAATTTAACGCTCAGAAACAATTGCTTTAACTGGTTAATGGGACCACACTGTGAGTCTTGTAAAACCTGTTAATTGATTTGCTAATATCACCCATTTAAAACCCCTATTTAATCTTAACATTTATTGTTCTTTTTTCTGTCGATGACTAACCTTTAGGTTCTGTTGGAAACCAGAAAGTACTCTAGAAAGAAAATATGAATATAAACAGAGAAGAAAATTCGATGCAAAGAAAATTTGGGTGAACAAAAGAAGCTCAAAATCGATAGGTTTATTTTAGATATTTTTTCCTAATTCGGTATGACTTTATATATTTATTTCTATACTAAAGTTTTTTGGCTTGAGAATATGATGTAATGAAGCAAAATTGATCACTAAAATGTCTGCTCTTCTTTGTTATGAAGCACCGGTCAGTCCATGCAATTTTCGACTCTATTTTCACTATGGGTCATCCGGAAACAGTCTCTGCATAAATTTGTGCTTTAGTACAGGGGTAAGACTTCGTACATCCGAACCCCCTCCCCCATCGTTGGTGGGAGCCTTTGTGGTACTAGAGTAATGATGATTTCATTCCTAGCTGCACATTCCAGTGCAATTTTAAACTCTAGGAAACCAATTTTCTTAGCATTTTTTCTTCATTTTCCTAACATTTCCTAGAATCTAAGCACTCCCTTATTCTTTCATTCAAATATATTCTTTTTTGATCACTAAATCCTACTTCACTCTACAATTGCAGAGCGGAAAAACGTGTTTGGGTGATTTTATTTATCACAATATCACCGCTGACAACTTTTCTCCTGAAAGTCTTCTTGATTCCTTGGACTTATCCTCAGAGCATCACTCACTTGAAGTGGCTAATAGAGTTGAAGCTGCAGTGTATGTATGGAGGCTGAAAGACCAAAAAAATCATTCGAATACTCGAAAACCGAAGCACAAAACCTGGGGAGGTAAGGTTAAGGGTCTTGTAGCTGATGTTGGGAGGTACCATTTTCTGGCTGAGCGAGCAGAAACCCTTTTACATAACTTGAGGCTTTGCTTCCCTGGTCTACCTCAAACTGCTCTGGATATGTATAAAATCCAGTACAATAAGGTATTATTTAGTCTTTCCTTGCTGCAAACTTGCTTTTTTTGCCCTCATTTCCCAATGTTATATTTGTAACACGGATAATACTAGGGGAAGAAAATATAGAGCTGTACAAAGAGGAAATTTAGAGGCAAAATGAAAATTTGCTTCTAACTCAACAAATAAATTTTATATATAATCCAAAAAAATTATATATTCCATCATTTTCAATGGAGCCAAAGACTCACTATTTTTTGGCTTGGAACATGATGGAATAAAGCAAAATGACTCACTAAACTGTTTGCGCTCGTTTTCTTTGTTATGAAGTAGCAGTCGGTCCATGTAATCTTTGACGCGATTTTCACTATGGGTCATCCGAAAACAGCCTCTCTATGCTTTAGTATAGGGGTAAGGCTGCGTACATCCGACCCCCCTTACTCCACCGTAAGTGGGAGCCTTTGCGGCATTGGGGTAATGATGATGATGATTGTTCAAACTCTTTTCCTTCTGAAGTGTTTCTATTTATAAAGAGTAGGAAATCTAAATTTGTATAGAAATTTTTAAGTTTCAATAATTTTTTATTTTCCTAGGTAAAACCTATGTTATAAAAACCGGACCGGGAAGCGACCTGCCTAATGACCAGGTCACAGGTCAACCCGGACCTGGCGGTTCAACCCGGTCAATGCCGGAAAAACCCGGTCAACTATGTATATATATATATATAATTTTATAGTATTAAACATACATTGTTATATGTATATAATTAAAAAATATCCAAAATATTATTTGATAGTTTTTAGTGTTTTTGTAAATATTTCAACATAGTGTTGAATAAGAATACTTAATTTATTCATATTTGAATACTTAGTAAGCATTTTGTTCATACATAATATTCAAATATATTCATATATGCATCATGTTCCAAAATATAGTTTTAGGCATGTTTGAATCGATATTATTATTTGATATCTTACTTTACATCTATAAAATATTAATGTATGATTTTCTTCTTAGGATAGTATAATAATAGAGATAATACGGAGTAATACCTATCATTACATGTATATGCATGCCGTAACAATTACCTAATAGTAACATTTTAACTTGAAGAACTGATATTATTACACAAAAAGAACGCTCCTTAACAAAAGGCTTGAGTAGTTCGTTGGAGTGCATGGCTCCGTAACTCTGGGTGGACGAAGGTTCAAATCCCGCCCAAGAATATTTTTAAAATTGACGGAGTATCCAGATTCTTCTGGGTTTCCCGGGTTGCAATTCATTCCAGTTTAGGCCGGGCCAAGGTGAGCCTTCGGGTTATTCCGATTTTCGCTAACTGGGTCGACCTGCCCGGTCCGATCTGGTTTATTAAACATAGGGTAAAACCAATAGAAAAACGTCATTTTTCTTAATATGCTTTTTGCATTCCAGTGTTCCAAACATTGCAAAATGGTGTAAAAACCGCTAGGTGGCATATTGGGCCCTAGTGCTTAGTTGAGGCCTAAAATGGGAAAACCTAGCTGCTCAATGAGACCCTAGCTCCTATGTGGTTGATAGTTGTTCAATGACTAAATCTGCTTATAGCAGAGGCCAGAACTGGCTGGCACTAAAGGAGGCTTATGTATGAAAAGAATTTAGAGTGAGGTGATGTGGCTTATCTTTCGCAATAAGCATTGCAATAGAGACTAGAGAGCAAAAAAAAAAAAACAAAAAAAACATTGAGAGCATCCTTGCTGGGGGTTCATCTTTCCCAGGTGGAGATTTTAGTTGGAAAATAAGGCCACGTTATAGGAATACTGTATATTATGTTTGGTCAGGTGGAGAGTACAAAACTCCCTTTTTTAGAATGTGACGCTTTCCAGGGGGTAACCAAACGTGTAATTAAAGACTTGTTATTTTAGGATCTTCATATCCTCTCTATATTGCAGGATGTCGGCCAGTCAATTCTTGAAAGCTACTCAAGGGTGATGGAGAGCTTGGCATTCAACATCATGGCAAGGATTGATGATGTCTTATACGCAGATGACATGACCAAGAGCTGTGCTGCAAATGGATCTTCTTCCATCGTCAACCGCGGAGGTATGGGTGGTCGCCCGATCCAAAAACGGATGTCTCCCAGCCCATTCTGCATTCATCACACCCATTACACCTCCCCGTTTGCCACCCCAACATATTGCTTGTCTCCTACCTTGACGGGCAGTCCAAAAAGAACACTTTCTTCTCTTTCATCAGAGAAAGATAATGCAAAATCTTGGACCTATGCTACTTCTAATCTTAGTGCCATAATCGCATCTAAGGATGCCCCAGAACGTGATTGAGGTTTGTGGAGATGTCTTCTTATTTGCAGTGTAATTTGTTTATAATCAGATGAAACTATGATTATTAGCATAGTTATCTTATTAATTACCCGCATACCAAAATTAGGTAATTAGATATGGTCCCTATTGCAACTAAGAAACTAAGATAATGTATGCTCGTGAGTCACACCATTACGTAAGGGTTCCGTTGTTATGATGAATTAATGACCACTCGATTACATGTGTTGATGGCTAGCTTTGTTTTTTGATTTCTCTCCTTGACTGGAAATAAGCCCTCGTACAGTTGTACTATATAAAAAAAGTCAATTAAGCTCTCATGCTTTACAAACACTCAATTGAATCCTTGAACTATAAAAAAATGTTTAATTAAGCTTTTTACCAAGTAAGTTACCGGTTTCCCGGTTAAATGTACATGTGGCGTCCGTGTGGCAATTTTTTCCCTTTTTCTCTTTCATTTTCCTTTTCTTACTTTTCCCCCCTTTTCTCTTTCTTTCCCTCTTTCTTTCTCCCTTTCCCTTTCTTCTCCGTTTCTTCCCACAACTGTATTTCTTTCTTCCTTTCTAGCTTTCTTCTTTTGTGTTCAATTTATTCTTTTCCCTATATCTCTAGTTGCCGGTTTAATGTTCTTTGGCAAGTTCATTTGCTGCCTTCTAGCAAGGCACCTGTAAGGATGTTTTTACTTGGACTGTAATTTGCTGGTCTGGTCTGGTCTGAACTGGTCTGGTCTGGTCTGGTAAGGTCTGGTTTCTTTGTATTTTTATAACTATCCAAGTCTGGTCTGGTCTGGTCTGAACTGGTCTGGTCTGAACTGGTCTGGTCTGGTCTGGGACAAATTACAGTCCAAGTAAAAACATCCTAAGGCTGCAACGGAGAGACGGAGTTACTAAGACATCTTCTCACCACTTCAGAGAAAGTGATGATGACATTAAATAACAATCTTTCAGCGAAAGAAAGGACAGTGGGGATGGACTGCTCACCTTGAGGTAGCCGGAATCCGGGAAAGTAAGAGAGACTGAAAGGAGCTAAGTAAGATCGGGTAGAAAATTGGGCAGAGTAACATCAAGTTCTAACATCAAAATTCGAATCCCTTTCCACAAGTTGGAAGGTGATATTTATATTAAGGGAGAAGTACTTGGTCAACAAGTAAAAAGATGTTATTCTATTGTGGTGAAAACATGTGTCACACCTATGTAACAAGAATAAATGTACTAAATTACTAATCTAATGGTATGGTGACACGTGTTAAAGTGATTGGAGAGATAATCTGGACAACTAGCTGATTGGTATTGTGTGCAACAAAATTGTCTTTTGTGTACTAGAACATACATATGTGCCCCACATGTGCAACTTAGGATATCCCTTGTGGTAACCGCCATGGTGACATGGCCGTTATGTAATGCTGATGACGTGTCTCTAGTTTTGTGTGGTACTTGATTGCTGAAACGTTCAAGTCCATAGTTTATTCAGCGAGGCCCTAAGCTTTGTAAGTGGGGTCAGAGCTCGGGTATGGTAAGCTCCTTCTAGAGGGTTTGACTCGAGTAGTGATGATTCCTTCGCTCCGTTGACTTTAGTTGACTTTGTGTCCGTGTCCGAGGTCAGATTTGGTACCGACCTTCTGTCTGCTCGAGGTCGGCCTCAGGATTGGTCTTATCTTGGTGATTTGGGAGTCGATTGTTCGGACCGACCTCGGGTAGGTCGATGTCGGCCTCGGCGAAACGTTGACTTAACACTTTGGGGACTTCCTTAGTTCATGAATGCTGATACCCTTGAGGTATATGAGAATATACTCCATCATGAGTCCCCACTATTTGAGACGAAAGTTATTCTTGAGGTGATAGGGAGTAGGGCTGGACTCGGTTCAGGCCGAGCCTAGGCCCGGTCGAGCCTCCGGTCCTACAAAGGGGGGGCCCGGAACCGGCCCGTCCTTCGCCCGGTTCCGGTTCGGGCCGGGTCACCCGCCGGGTCCCGGGCCGGGCCACCCGCCGGGTCGGGTCGGGCCTAGGTTAATTTTTTTGTATCTTTTTAATACAATTTAAATATGAAATACATTTTTCAAAAAATACTAATACAATAAATTCTAAGTTGTAAGTTGTAAGTTGTAAGTTTGTAACCAATTAATTAATTAATTAATTTGAGAAGTGCTACATATAAAAAAAAGAATGTATATTTATTTGAAATATTAAATACAACTCTACAAATTACAATAGAGAATTGAAGGAAAAATTAAAACATGAAATACATTTTATAATAAACTGTAAAATACTAATCAATCGGAATCTCCGGCATAGGAGCCACCCTCGGTTGTTGATTCATCCATAAAGTCTTGGGAGGGGGTGATGCTAACTTCTTGACATCTACGTATGGCTTTCAACCAATCGTGGTAGCATATAAGCGTCTCAAGAGACTCATCGCTCAAACTCGTTCTAGATGCCGTTAGAACGTTGCCGGCCGAACTAAATTCTTGTTACACGGCAACTGTTGAAACCGGCATTGATAGCACTTGCTTAGCCATCCGTGCCAAAATCGGGAACATTCTTTCTTTTGACTTCCACCACTTTAGAACGTCAAACTCCTCATTTTTGTCAAATTCTACCTCATAATTTATATACAAAGAAATCTCATTAAGTGCGCTTTGTTCAGTAGTGTGAGTTGTTTTAGGTTTTTTCATAAGATTGCCAAAAGCAGATTTAAAAAGTGATTTTCCTTTAGATGAAGATGTGTGTGCGGGCCGCGGGGGAGGGGGCGCGTTGCCATATTGTGCACGAAACTCATTATATAAGGCATAAAATAAATTACTAACCTCGTTGTATTCAACTTGCGGATCTATGACGTTATCATCATACATTGGAAATGGACAAAAAAAGCATTATAATAGAACTTCAAACATTCTTCCAAATTACTAAGTCTATAACGAGGATCGAGAATAAATGCAATACTATAAATATGCAGAATATGTGCATAATATTTTAAAAACTTTTCCTTCTTAAACCACAAAAATAACTCACGTAAGCGGCATTCTCAAATTCATTAAAAGCACCGGCGAGATTAACAACTTCACGAATAAATTCGTATGAGGTAGGTTTATAAACATGACTAAAACTTTCAGTTGCATTATTAAAATATATCAAAACATTACAATTTTTTTCGCAAGTGTCGATGTGAGCGGGGTTTAAAATATAGTTATCATATTGTCTTAAAAAAGCAGGAAAATGTTCTTTATATCTAAGAAGAACTTTAATTAATTTATAAGTACTATTCCACCGAATAGACAAATCTTTAGGGAAAGCAACATATTTCACACCTCTTTCAATCAAATAATTTTGCCATTTTAATTTAAGTTGACCATTGCCCCAAATACGTCTAATCCCCCCCTTGACTACCTCCATAGCATCTCCTAACGCTTTTATACCGTCTTGCACACATAAATTTATAATATGGCATGCACATCGTTGATGAAAAAATCTACCCATCAAAGTATTAGAACCACATAATTCACGCAATCTAGGTATAGCAGCAGTATTATTAGTAGCATTATCAAAACCTATAGCAAACAACTTATCAATCTAATTATATTCAGTTAAAATATGTTTAATCAAAATATAAATATGTTTAGCGGTGTGACGATCATTAAATTCACGAAAAGCAAGAACACGTTTATGCAAATTCCAATCACTATCAATAAAATGTGCAGTCAGGCCCAAATAATGTAAATTATGATAAGTATCCTCCCAAATGTCAGAACAAATAGTAACACGGCCGTCAAAGTTTGCAAAAAAAATTTGTAACCTATCCTTTTTCCGCACGATAAAGCCTTATAATTTCTTTCTTAACCGTTTTGCGACTATAACTTCTAAATTGAGGTTTTAAACAAGTTTGTGCATAATCTTTAAAAGCAAGACTTTCAGAAAACAAATAAGGAAAATTTTCTTCAACAAGTAAGTTAGTCATACCAGTCAAATTTTGTGCATCAGTGTATGAGAAATTGCCAAAAGGTTGGTCATTTGCAAACCTCGATATTTGAGTTTGCTTCCCCTTCCCTTTGTCTATTTTCGCATACTCCACAGAGTGCGCGAACTTAAGATGCCTTTTGAGGCTCCCGCATCCGCCGGAAGTTCCCAAGCTATACTCCTTGCAATGATCGCAACTTGCGTACCATTTATCAGTTTTTGGGTCTTTCCTCTTTGTAAAATTATTTTCTATAATAGGAGATTTAGATTTCTTACCAGTTTGGGATGGACCTCCCTCATCCTCCAACTCTTGCTCATCATCCGGGGTGCCGTGAGTCTCATTGCCCCCCTCGTCCTCCTCCGCATCGTCATCCTCGAGCTTCTCTTCATCAATGGACTCCGGGATGTTTTGTTGTTGGAAAAAGCGACCATCATTTTGCGCCAATAGTTGTTGTAGTTGCTCGTCGGACATCGCATCCCCATCTCGCCTTTGGTATCCGTCATCAGAATCTTCTCGACTTTGAGAAGAAGACCCGACCCGCCCTTTGCCTTTGCGTAAACTAGGATGACTTGTCGCAATCTCCTTCCTTTGGTTGCGTTGGAGACTACCCACATCTACGGAATGTCTGGCACGGTCCATCTTTAAAATGTAACAAATATTATATGATATCAAATGTTTTAATATGAGTACAATAGTAATAATAAAATGCGACTAATAAAATTAACTACTTTTATTAGTTTATACTTTAATGCAACAATTAATAATTAACTAGTTTTATACTTGAATGAAAAATGTAACAATTAACTAGTTTTATACTTTAATGAAAAATGTAACAATTAACTAGTTTTATACTTGAATGAAAAATGTAACAATTAACTAGTTTTATACTTGAATGAAAATGTAACAATTAACTAGTTTTATACTTTAATGAAAAATGTAACAATTAACTACTTTTATACTTTAATGAAAAATGTAAAAATTAACTAATACGATGAATTTAATTACTATGAATTCAAGTGTAACTAATATAATTGTATAACTAATATATAATATAATGTTTATAGTATATAATATATAAGTATATTAATATAAGATGAGTAATACACTTATATATAATACTTTAATATATATAAGTAGATGATAGGTAGAGATTAAGTAGATAAGCAGGACCGTCTAATGAATTTGGAGGCCCCGGTTCTAAATGTAAAACCGAGGCCCCAAATTAATATATTTTTTTAAAAAAAAAATCAATCCAAATAGTTATACTCAAATCAATTATATACTCATTAAAAAGAATTAAAAGAGTAAAATGACCAACGAAAAAATCATG